GCCGACCAAGGGCAAGATGGATGGATGGCATCCTTGAAGTGACTGGACTGACCTTGAGGGAGCTGGGGGTGGTAACGGCCGACAGGGAGCTCTGGCGTAGGCTGGTCCATGAGGTCACGAAGAGTCGGAGACGACTGAACGAATGAACAACAACAACAAACAAATGGGTTACGATTTTGGATAACATGATTTTAATAAGTGTTTTAATGTTTGATATGTTTTAATGACTGTTTTAATATATATGTTTATTTTACTATATATGTATGTTTATATGGCATTGAATAGTTGCCAATATATGTAAGCCACCTTGAGTCCCCTACGGGGTTGAAAAAGGCGGGGTATAAATAAATAAATAAATAAATAAATAAATAAATAAATAAATAAATAAATTTTGGGTTTGCATCCTTGTCAAAGAGTGAGAGTGAGATCCAAATATCAGTCCTTTAGACACAAATATCCAATTGATTGCCACTCAACTCAACTCTGTCACACTCCATGATAATAGCACTATGCCTCACTTTCACTGCCATGGCTACATCCTATGAAATTCTGATTATTATTATTATTATTTTAGTTTGGTGAGGCACTGGACCTCTCTGGCAAAGAATTCTAAGTTTATCTTTCTAAAATGCAAATCTTAAAATTCCACAGGAGGTTGCCATGGTGGTTTAAGTGCAATCACAGTGCTATAAGTGCATAGCACGATGGGGTTCTGTGCTGAATGCAAACATCAGGCTGCCCTCCTGGCAAGTGTGGCCAAGTAAGGTCAGGAAATTTAAATTAAAAGATGTGATCTCTCTCTCTTAAAAATACTTAAGTTACAAAATACGACAAATTGGAGGTATGAAGCCCATGTTTATATACAGTTTTGGCTTGAGGATTTGCCGTTGTGGTCCCATTCAGAAACAACCTGGTTGGAAATGCTCTTCTAACACATAGCTTTGAATTGTGAACATTTCATGGGTGTAATTTCCAAGATCCCAATCTAGTAACTCCCTAAATCAGTGGTTCTCAATCTTCCTAATGCAACAACCCCTTAATACAGTTTCTCATGTTGTGGTGACTCTGAACCATAAAATTATTTTAGTTGCTACTTCATAACTGTAATTTTGCTACTGTTATGAATCGCCATGTAAATATCTGATATGCAGGCTGTATTATCATTCACTGGACCAAATTTGGCACAAATACCCGATATGCTCAAATTTGAATACTGGTGGGGTTGGGAGGGGGGATTGATTTTGTCATTTGGGAGTTGTAGTTGCTGGGATTTATAATTCACCTACAGTCAAAGAGCATTCTGAATTCCACCAACAATGGAATTGAACCAAACTTGGCACACAGAATTACCATGGCCAACAGAAAATACTGGATAGGTTTGGTGGGTATTGACCTTGAGTTTTGGAGTAGCAGTTCACTTACATCCAGAAAGCACTGTGGACTCAAAAAATGACGGATCTGGACCAAACTTGGCATGGATATTCAATATGCACAAATGTGAACACTGGTGAAGTTTGGGGAAAATAGACTTGACATTTGGGAATTGCTGGAATTTATAGTTCACTTACAATCAAAGAGTTGAAATGTATAGTTCACCTACAATCAAAGAGGTGGAATTTATAGTTCACCTACAATCAAAGAGTATTCTGAATCCCACCAATGATAGAATTGGACCAAACTTCCCACATAGAACCCTCATGACCAACAGAAAATACTGTGTTTTCTGATGGTCTTGGCAATCCCTCTGACACCCTCTCACAACCTCCCCCAGGGGTCCCGACCCCCGTCTTGACACGCACTGCCCTAAATGTACTGTTTCCTAACAAAAGCATTACATAAGAATAGCACCTACCTTTGGTATGAAGTGTTCTGATGAGCTGCTCCATCACCATGAAAAATCGACTAACTTCAATTTGGGCAACTTCCCAGGCGCACCCATTATACTCCCCATCTTTTAGGAAACTCTGGATTCGATCAAAATATGTTTTCACTGCTTCCCTGATATCTTGTTTGTCTTCAGTCAAACATGGTGACAATTCTGCGATTTCCTGACTCAGTCCAGCCTTTAACATGCCAATGGAATTCTCATCCCAAGGCAATTTGGTATGGTTTTGACTGTAGAGGCAAAGGATCTGTCGGAGGATTTCATGGAGGGCTACTGTGGCATTCTCTTTCTGGAGTTCAAAAATATTTTGGATGTTTTCTTCTTCAGGTTGGGATGAAAAGCTGATCACATCATTCAGGCATTGTAGAGGAAAAACCGATCCCAATTGACTTTTTAGAACTGCTAAGTTCTCCTTGTTATCTTCCAGAAGATGCTTACGAAGATGACTGCAGTTTTGGGACAAGGTTTCAATGACAATCAACACCATAAGGCAAATGTCAAGGAGCCAAGCCTTTGTGGTCATCTTTGGGATGAAAAGAGTGTAGGGGGTTTTTCTGGATTGTAGCGCAGTGTCTAGAAGACCTGTTTGCTTAGATGTTTTAGAAACTGCTGCATATTTCAACCCTTTTTATTTAATTCAGTGTTCAGGAGCTGTTTTCCCCACACACCACTTTATGATCTGTGAATAATTTTGAAAACTTGTTTTCAAATAAAATAATTAAAATGTTGGTCAAAATATTAGTTTGATCTGGAGTGATTCCCAAAGAACTTGCTGACAGCAAAAAACAGTCTTCCTTTTCACTTGTAGCCACAGTTAATTGATTTTATGGGACCAAAAAATGTGGGACCGCTAAAATTTCTCATGTTATAGTCAGACTTAAACAGGGACCTCAGTATTTGACTTTCCCATTGGAATGACCTGAGCAGTTCCAGAGAGATGAAGCAAAAATGGTTGGATCAGACGTGCATGTATTTCCCTTAGTGACTTGACACTTGACTGCTGAATGTGAAACCAGCTCTGATAGTTCTTGGTAGGAAGTTCTACCTGTGTTGAATCAGTCCCCCATGAATAGGGCACAAATATCATAAATACCAATAGTAGTATTGCTACAGTAACATTAAGACTATGTACAATGAGTACGATGGGATTATGACAAGAGGCATCCCCTAAACTGTAGATATTCATATAAATGTCTGCACGTAACTTACACTCACACGGCTACATAGATACAGGTCTCTGTTCATGCGATTCAGACAAACAGAAAAGTAGTGTTCTGGATCATGCAAGGAGAATCCTATGGGTAAACAATTGTATCCATGGAAACACCAAGCTGTCATTCAACACAGTATATGTTGATGCTCTATCCAGTGTTTACTATATTGTTTGGATGTTTGAATTAACCCATGTATCCAATAGAAAGGGTTTTTAAAAGGGAACATTCACACACACAGTTTAAAGCTTTTGGAAATTCATGTTGGCTGCTCAATTGAATTTTCTTTTATTCTCAACTCACATACCATTGGCCACCCTGAATATAAATATTTACTAGTAGAGAAATATGGTCTAGTAAGAAAATGTTTCAGTAGCTTCCAATGGCTTAATCCCATGGTTTGTATCAAAGGCAAGAGGCCATGCTTAACTTTGGGTTTTACTTTAGTTGTAAATTATACCCGTCTTTATTAAAATGTGAAGGAGCCTCTGGTGATGCAATGGGTTAAACCCTTGTGCTGGCAGGACTGAAGGTCAGAGGTTCGAATTCAGGGAGAGTGTGATGAGCTCCACTCCGTCAGCTCCACCTTCCCATGCACGGACATGAGAGAAGCCTCCCACAAGGTTGGTAAAACATCAAAAAGATCTGGGCATCCCCTGGGCAACATCCTTACAGATGGCTAATTCTCTCACACCAGAAATTACTTGAAGTTTCTCAAATCACTCCTGACACACACACACACATATAAAAGAAATGTGAAAAATAATCCCAACTACCCATGGATTTTGGAAGTGAGATTTATTTTTAAAAAAATAAATTTTAATAATTTAATAAATATATAAATAAGTAACATTAAATAAAGGCAATAAATAACATCATATATTCAAAACTCCAGTAATACAAATACATATTTGACTCCACAAAATAAATATCATGAGAATGCCATGAGAGGAGCATCACTGAAAGAGACATATAGCTACAGTGAATTTGCACTATGCTATTCATTTCGAGATATCCTGTCCTAATACAGATATGTCAATTATTAAACAAAAAAGCCAGTATTTTCTTGGTAATTGGACTCCTTAGTTTCTTCTCTATAAACATTCAAGGCAGAATTACTGTGGAAAAGCATTTAGAAACAGAAGAACAGGGAAGAAAAGGATTCTTGCTTTCTGTGAAGATCTCACTGGAGGAACCTCCTGGACAATCGGTTCACTTTCATTGATCAACTCTTCCTGCATCAATGATTGTTGGTTAAGCTGCAAGAATGAAGAAAAGGAGTTCAAACTTCATATTCAGTTAGAAATAGCTTAATTTTAAATGTCTAAAAGATTTTTAATTACTAGAAACTGAGCTATCAATTTGGCCCATTTTAATACAGCAACAATAAGTAAAGGTAAAGGCTTCCCCTGACATTAAGTCTAGTCATATCTGACTCTGGGGGCTGGTGCTCATCTCCATTTCTAAGCCAAAGAACTGGTGTCATCCATAGATGCCTCCAAGGTCATGCGGCCAGCATGACTACATGGAGAGCCGTTACATTCCTGCAGAAGTGATACTTATTGATCTACTCATATTTGCATGTTTTCAAACTGCTAGGTTGGCAGAAGTTGGGCCAAACAGTGGGAGGCCACCCTGCTCCCCAGATTCAAACTACCAACCTTTGGTTAGCAAATTCAGCAGCTCAGCGGTTTAATCCACTGCGCCACCAGGGGGGCCCTACAGCAAGAATACAATTGCTATATTTATTTTTAGTCGTATTCTGAATTCTATGGTTGTGGGAATCTTTCTCTTCATACCTTTGTTTCAGATCATTTGAATGAGTTTCTCAATCCAGAGGAAACATTCCTTGACTTGGATCTGGATGATCTCCCAGGCACACCAGCTGTACTCTTTCTCTTTCAGGAGGTCACTCAGGCTTCGAAAGTATCTTTTCACTCTCAGCCTGGTGAGCTGGATCCTCTGACTTCTTGGAGATGCACTCAAGCAGCTCTTCAGGTTCTCACTTTGCTGATCCAGTCCAGCATGGAAAACTCTCAAGGAATCCTCATCCCATGGCATTTCGGTATTGTTCTGCTTAAAGATGTGACCTGTCTGTTGGAGAACTTCTTGGATGGCCACCTTAACATTCTCCTCTTCAGAGATATCAATATTTCTCAGATTCTCTTTGGGAGAGAAGCTGACGACATCGTCAAGGCACTGTTGAGGAATGGTGGATGCCATCTTGCCTTTCAGAACTTCCAGGTTGGCCTGGTTGGCTTGTTGGAGCCAAGTGCTAAGTTGGCCACAGTCCTGAGATGAGACTTCAACGATGAAGACCATGGCAAGGCCAATGCACAAAAGCCAGCCTTTGTTGACCATGGTGAAGGAGGAGGACAGTGGGTTTTTTCTTGAGTGCAGGATCTGGAAGATGGGCTTTCTTGGAGGATGACCCAGTTTGTGTCACATCCTCCAGCCATGGCTTGTATTTAAACACTCAGAGAATGATGGTTTCTTTTGCCCCTTTCCATTTAGATTATTTTCAGATCAGTGGGGAAACTACACAGCATGATTTCCCTTTTCTCTTCCATATCATTACAAAAGTGTTCAGTGCAGATGGGTGATGGGGGAGGAAAATTGCTTTTGCTTGTTATTGTGAGCTTGAATTATTCTTATTAGTATTATTAGTGTAAAATAATTATAACTGATAGCACAAATCAGAATTCCCTTCCACTAATTCTTATCTCTTTATTTCTCAAAATGTATTTAAAAACAAGAAAAACACTCTTGAAACTTCTAGTGTTACTAGGATCAGGCAATAACTACTGTCTTTAGCTGCTTCTATGTAGTACAGTAGTTCTCAACCTGTGGATTTCCAGGTGTTTTGGCTTACAACTCCCAGAAATCTCAGCCAGTTTACCAGCTGTTAGGATTTCTGGAGGCCAAAACATCTTGGTATCCACAAGTTGAGGACTACTGATGTAGTAGAACAATCAGAAGAGATTACAATGAAGGAGAAATGGTTGGTTCACACTGTCGTGAGTTCATTACTTGACTCCATAGGCATGTATGGATTAGATCTATTGGTTTTGCATGTACATGAAGTGAGATTTCTTCTGGGATGTCTCATAGTTCCATCAGTATACAATCCCCACCAGAAGAAAAGTTCCCCAAAGCCCTAGGCACATATTCAGACAGGAGTAGGGGATGCTTGGATTGCAGATTATATGTGCATAGAGTAGTTTGTAGTTTCAGCAGTCTTAGTGTGCACATATGGTTGGTAAGGATTTCTACATAATGTTGGGGATTCTTATAACAGCAGGGAGGCTCTGCCTACAAAGAACTGTAGGCACTCTCTCTAGCTAACTTTAGGAAAGAACTAAAAACCTGTGTGTGGGAGCTGGCTTTCGAAAATGGTTGACTACTTCATTATGATGGTGGTCTTTTAGCCTTGTTAATACCTATTGGTTTTAAACTGGTTTTGCCTCCGCAGGGCAATATGTTTTAAACCCAGTACAATTTTAACCTATATATCCATTTATTGTAATATTGTTTTTAAAACTTCTGTTTATGCTTATTAGTAATATATTAGTAATATATTTTTTTGTTTTTGCATCTGTATGTATTGTGTCCTGATTCTCTTGTGAGCCTCCCCAGTCTTTGTGGAGAGGGGACGGGATATAAATAAAGTTTATTATTATTATTAATTGCTCAAGGTGTTGCTTTACCTGTTGCAATCCCTTTTCTATTTTTGTGCTAAACATCAGTGTCTTCCATAGACAGGGCAGGGTCAAACATCCCACATGTCTTATTCTCTGCATTGGCATTTCCCTATATCATATACCTGAAGGTGATCCCATAATCAGCCCTCTTTTGAATATGACTAGTTGAAAAAAAAAAGAGTTTTGAGAGAGATGATTATGTTGCTCTATTTTGTGTAAAAGCAAGCAAGGCAAAGAAGTCTTGTGAACTTTTCAAAACTGTTACATATATTTTAGTTGGAACTTTTGTGGACTTTAACATTCAGGAATGTTATATTTAACTCCCAGGGAACTTTGCACAAGTAGATGGTTGTGTGGATAAGATAAAGGTGAGATGGGATATAAGGATCTTCAAAGGGCTGATTTAATGTACACATTCTGTCTGCAAATAGACAGGTCTACTGGTCTTTTAAGGAGCCCCTGGTGGTGCAGTGGGTTAAACTGCTGAGCTTGCTGACCAAAAGGTCAGCAGTTCAAATTCAGGGAGTGGGGTGAGCTCCTGCTGTTAGCCCCAGCTTCTGCCAATCTAGCATTTCAAAAACATGCAAATGTGAGTAGATCAATAGGTATCGCTTCAGCAGGAAGGTAACAGTGCTCCATGCAGTCATGCCTGCCACATGACCTTGGAGGTGTCTACGGACAACGCCAGCTCTTCAGCTTAGAAACGGAGGTGAGCACTACCCCCCAGAGTCAGACATGACTAGACTTAATGTCAGGGGAAACCTTTACCTTTACTTTTACCAGTCTTTTAAGTGCCAAGATTTGGGGATCAAGATTATTGGAAGCAAAATGTATTTGCCTGTTTTTGAGTTGGGTACGTAGTATTTGTGTCCCACCAATCCCTGTGTTGAGTTTTGTAAATAACCCTCTATGGCTTGCAAGCATTAGCTTTAGAAGCAACACACCCCCAATCTTCCTGCACAGCAAGCCTGGCTAGTGTATTTCCATATCACTCTTAGATGGGAAACGATTTAGGAGCACATGAAGAGGAACAGAAACACAAGCTCCTTTGCTTTCTAGTAATAAAGCCACAGAAGCGATCAAGTGAAAGCTGAACGAGAGGGCCATTCCCTCCAATGCAACTGTTTCTCTCAGCTGTTTTCTTTGCATCATCAAGAGCAGGTTAAAATGCAAGGAAGAAGAGAAGCAAGGGAAAGACCCAAAGCATTGTGATTTTTTTGTAATCCAAGATTTAATATAAATTCAGTAGGTCTTTTATAGTTGGATCAACAACTGACTTTAGATCCTTATCTTTTTTTAAAAAAATAGCTTTCCTTTTTTGTTTATTTAAACAAAAAGGAAAAACAGTGATATACTTTTACAGAGCATGCAACATACGGAGACAATAACAAACACACTATTTATTTATTTATTTGTTTGTTTGTTTGTTTATTTATTTATGTACTTACTTACTTCCCATACTGCTATCCAGCCTTTCTCAACCCTGAAGGGGACTCAAAGCGGCCTTTCGAAGGCAACAATTCAATGCTGCAGGTACACACACATCAATGAATAACCAAAAACATTAAAACCAACTAATTAAAACATAACATTAAAACAACAATTAAAATCACATAATCTAGGTCATATTCTAGGGCAGTCCCTCCATGCTTGCACCTGTGAACACACCATTGGGGACTTCCATCCCTGCTCACTATGATATCTATACCCTATAATACCTACCCATTTAAGTTCCTTAAATACAAGGCTTTTCTGGAAAGCACAGTTACAAGGGATGTAGCTCTCACAGGGAATTTTTGTGGGATAAATTGGTATCACTGTTGTGTAGTGGGAAGCCAACAGAAGCGAATGCGCAATGCCAGTCATCAGTAGCTCATTGACTTCCATTGTGGTGAAGGTTAGAGATGAGCGTCCTCATTCCATTTCCCTCCAAGTGCAAAGTTCATGATGAAGACAGAAGTGGACACCGTCCATTGTGGCTGATGACATGGCTGAAAAAGGTGGTGGAAGACTTCTATGACACAGGCATCAAAAACTCATCTCATGGATGACAAAATGTATTGAATGGTGATCATGTAGAAAAATAATGTAATACCTTTGCTAGAATCCATATAAAGTTTTATTCTTTGCATTTTAAAAAATCTTGTAACCTTACTTTCTGGATATCACTTGTTCAATGTGAACTTCACACTTCCCTGTAACCTTACTTTCCGGATAACCCTTGAAGTATATTTAAAGTCAACTTTTGTCTTCTTTCCAAGGTATGCAAAGGAAAGCCACCATTTGTTTTCTAATTCTTCATTATTCTTACCCTGCATTAGACAGCTTGTTCACTTGTACGTAATCTATAATTTTTCCCCTCTTCAATCTCTTTTGAGTAGTTGTCTCTCTCCCTTCCATGATTTGGCTATAACCAATCTTGTTGCAACAATGCTGTATTGGCATATTTACCTTCCTGGTTAATACCCTCTCTGAATACACCTAGAAGGCACATTGTTGGGCTTTTCTGACCTGATTTTTTTCTTTTGATGTCATGATTTCACTATTTGAAGATGAAGATGATCTCACAAATTATTTGTACTTGCAGCAGATAGTACTAACATTCTTAATAAGTTGTCCCATTGTGTCAAAACAAGAACAATGTAACTCTCAAATACAGAATGGTATAACGGAGACAGAGAGGTGGTGTGGTGTAGTGGTTTGAGTGTTGAAGAATGCTTTTGAGGACCAGAGTTAGGATACCCACTTGGTTGTGGAAACCCACTGGATGGCCTTTGAAAAGTCACACTCTCAACCACAGAAGCAAAAAAACAAACAAACAAACAAACCCTTACAAACAAATCTTGGCAAGGAACCACTGTGATAGTTTTTTTTTTTTGTCACCATAAATCGGAAATGGCTTCAGGTTACACAACAGTCAATTTATCAATCAATCAATACATGATATCCCTGAAAATTGAACTTTCCAACACAATTTTCACAAATAAAAAGCTTGCTATATGAAACACACCCAGCAGTGATGTAAAGTGTTTTGTAAGGGGTGTTAACATGTATATCATAACTTAAAATTTTGGTTGAGTGGGTGGTCAAGAGATCACTCCTCAGGTGTATGTTATACGGACATGCCCGTCAAGAGCAGAATAAATCAATCAATTAGGATGTATGACTCTAACAATCCTAAGAAGGGTACTGATGTGGATCCCACATGGGAACTCTTCTCTGTAGGCAAGGGGGCCCCAGCAATACAAGTTCTTTTCCAAGATTGTTTTTCATTAAAAATTGAAATTGATTAAAATAAAAAGTCCTGAATTTATGTGGATAGAAAATCTGCTTTGTGCTATCAATTTCTATCACCTTCCTTTTGATTCCATTTGGTAAGAAATAACAACAGCAACAATAATAATCCTAGCTCTTCATAACAAGAAAAACAACAGTTTTTGAAGTTTCGTCATCACCACTAAGCACTTTTGTTCTGATATGAAAGGGAAAGAGGAAACCATCCTGTGTGGTTTCCCCCTTGATCTGAAAATAATCTAAATGAAAACGGGCAAAGAAGCCATCAGTCCCTGAGTGTTTAAATACAAAGCCATGGCTGGAAAATGCAACACACTCTGGAGCATCTTCCAAGAGACCCCATCTTCCAGTTTCTGCACTCCAGAAGAGACCACAGTCCTGTGCCTTCACCATGATCTCCAAAGGCTGGCTTTTGCATAGTGCCCTGATTATGGTTCTCATTACTGAAGTCTTATCTCAGGACTGCGGCCAGCTTTTCACCAGGTTACACCAAGCCAACCAGGCCCAGCTGGAACTTCTCAACAGCAAGATGAATTCCACCATTCCCCAACAATGCATTGATGATGTTGTCAGCTTCTCCCTTAAGAACAAACTCCCCACAAACCTTGATGAGGACAATGCCAAGGTGGCCATCCAAGAAGTCCTCCAGCAGACAGGTCACATCTTCAGACAGAACTGTACTGAAATGCTGTGGGATGAGGATTCCTTGAGAGCTTTCCATGCTGGACTGGATCAGCAAAGTGAGAAACTGAAGAGCTGTCTGAGTGCATCTCCAAGGAGTCAGAAGATCCAGCTCACCAGGCTGAGAGTGAAAAAATACTTCCGAAGCCTGAATGACTTTCTGAAGCAGAAAGACTACAGCCATTGTGCCTGGGTAATCGTCCAGATCCAAGTCAAGCAATGTTTTCTCTGGATTGAAAAACTCATCCTTATGATCCCAAATGAAGGTATGGAGGAGCAGATTGGAAAAATTACAAAGGATGTGATTTTAAAATGCATACAGGAATCTAATAACTCTTCTTTTTCCTTACAGCTTAACCTCTGATCACTGATGCAAGAGAAAGAGATGACTGAAATGTCAGGTTCAAGTAAAGTGTCCAAAATTATTCGTTTAATCATGCTAGAAAACAACGTACCTGTTCTTCTGTTTTCATCTGTTTCTAAAGGTTTTTCCCAATTTAGCTTTTCTGCTGTTCAGAGAAGTGGTCCAAAGGGATGAGGAGACAAAAGTCTCAGAGAAAGGAATGAAGAAATAGATGCTCATCTTCGAGGACATTCAATATTGCAAAGGATAGATTATCTCAAAATGAACTGGATTATACAAATATACTATGTCATTTTTTCCACTTGTAATAATGATGCTCTTACATTGTTTATTATTTGGACCCTGAAATATGTATTCACATGCTATTCCATTGGACTATTTATTGTTATTTATTACTTATATTTAATATTTATTTAACATTTGTATTAAAGAAATGAAATATATTTATTATGCATTTTCATAAAATAAATCTGTTTTTCAAAAATCAGTGGGTAGGTTTGATTCTTGCATATTTCAATAATGGGAAACACTCAAGAATAGATACATACTTAGGCTCAAAAACATCCAGTTATAAATTCAATACTTAGCATCATTTCAGGGCCCTCTGGTGGCGCAGCCACTTAAACTCTGAGCTGCTGAACTTGCTGACCAAAGGTTGGAGGTTTTAATCTGGGGACTGGAGTGAGCTCTGACTGGTAGGACCAGCTTCTGCCAACCTAGCTGTTCGAAAGCATGTAAATGTGAGTACATCAATAGGTACTGCTTCTGCAGGAAGGTAACAGTGCTCCATGCAGTCATGCTGGCCACAAGACCTTGGAGGTGTCTACAGACAACGTCAGCTCTTTGGCTTAGAAATAGAGATGAGTACTACCCTCCAGATTTGGACATAATTAGACTTAATGTCAGGGGAAACTTTTATCTTTACCTATAATATCATTTCAAATTGAAAAGGACAAAAGTATATTTCACATAATCAAATGAACCCAGAGTATTTTCCATGAGGATCAACTTTCCAGATTTTGCATTTCAGAAAAGATGATTCCTCATCACAACAAGTAACATTTCATGTTTTCCGAGTGATGCTGTTCCTCATTGTACTTCAGTCCTGTAACCAGTTTTGAACTAGGCTACAAGAAAAATCCAGCTGACACAATTTGGACTTTCTGAGCCATAAAAAGGGATGAACCAGTTTACAGAAAGTACAATGAACTTCACATCCCATAACCATTCTGCCAAATGGATGGGGAGCAATCCAGTAACACTGCTATGTGATGGAATTCATATATGGAGGATGACATCTGCATACCCACAGGGGTCAATACTCTCTAGCTGCCCTGGTTTGGCACTAACATGTGCAATGAATCCTCTCTCATCCCATTTTCAACTACTTTTAAAGTATCTCAGTGGTTAGAGATCTTGATTTAATGAGCAAGTACAACAATGACTTGGGGAAAGAAACTGAGCTTTATTGTAAGAACTCTGCTCTAATATAGGAAAGTCATTTGGGGTACTGATCTAATCTAGCTACATCTTGGAAGGCAGATTCGTGGGGAAAAGAAGAAGTGAAGAAAACATCTCCAAGAGTATCAGCTTACATCTCAAAGAGGGTCAGGATAGGTAGACACAAAGGGAAGTCACTCAGATTATCTAACTCTGTGAGGCTTTTCAGTCCTAAGCATTTCCAGAGATCCATGCAGAAGTCTATTTTCCAATCAGTAACTGAGGGCCCTTCTACACAGCACTATATCCCAGAATATCAAGGCAGAAAATCCCATAATATCTGTGTTGAACTGGGTTATCTGAGTCCACGCTCAGATAATGTGAGATTTTCTGCCTTGATATTTTGGGATATAGGGCTGTGTGGAAGGGCCCATATAAATCTTTATCTGCAGATGCTTGCATCATGCATTCGCCATCATAAAACATAGTACAGCAATTGCCTTTAAAATGAGTTTCACAATTATTCTCTGTTAGGGCTTCAGTACATATCAGATTGGCCTCCAAATCTGTTAAGACATCAATAATAAGGGCCAGTTTTTGGTTAATTTTCCATTTTTAATATTTACTAAAAATACCTTTCTTTTATTCTTTAAAAAAAAACGAAAATATTCCAAAAAAAGAAAAGACTCTTCTGCTGCTGTGTGCGCTCACTTGCCCTGTCTCGTGGCTGTGTTTGGTCCACATCAGGGCCAGTTTTTGGTTAAGTTTCCATTTCTGAATATTTTCTAAAAATACCTGCCTTTTATTCTTAAAAAATACAAAAAATATTCTAAAAAAGAAAAGACTCTTCTGTTGGTGTGCTCTCGTTTGTCCTGTCTCGTGGCTGTGTTTGGTCCACATCAGGGCCAGTTTTGGGTTAATTTTCCATTTTTAATATTTTTTAAAAATACCTGTCTTTTATTCTTAAAAAAATACAAAAAATATTCTAAAAAAGAAAAGACTCTTCTGTTGGTGTGTGCTCTCATTTGCCCTGTCTCGTGGCTGTGTTTGGTCCATATCAGGGCCATTTTTTGGTTAATTTTCCATTTCTGAATATTTTCTAAAAATACCTGCCTTTTATTCTTAAAAAATACAAAAAATATTCTAAAAAAGAAAAGACTCTTCTGTTGGTGTGTGCTCTCATTTGCCCTGTCTCGTGGCTGTGTTTGGTCCACATCAGGGCCAGTTTTTGGTTAATTTTCCATTTCTGAATATTTTCTAAAAATACCTCTTTTATTCTTAAAAAAAATACAAAAAATATTCTAAAAAAAGAAAAGACTCTTCTGTTGCTGTGTGCTCTCATTTGCCCTGTCTCGTGGCTGTGTTTGGTCCACATCAGGGCCAGTTTTTGGTTAATTTTCCATTTTTGAATATTTTCTAAAAATACCTGTCTTTTATTGTTAAAAAAATACAAAATATTCGCTTTAACGAATCGATTCGTTATTATCTCAATATCGAATCGAATCGTATTTAATAACGATGTTTGGAAGCCGCTTTTGCGCATGCGCGATCGCGTCCGCCATTTTAACGAATCGATTCGTTATAACCTTAACGAATCGACCTCCGCGCCAATAACGAAGATTCGGAAGTGATTCTGCCCATGCACGGGGGTCCGCCATCTTTACAAAATGTTTTGTAAATATTTACGAAATTTCGTAAATACCAAAACTTTTTTTGGGAAAGTTTTGTAATTATTTTAAATATCGAAACAAAAAAACACCCCAATTACAAATCGATTTTAGAAACAATTTTTTTCTTGATCAACCAGGCCTAATATTTCTTTCATACAATCAAGCCAAAGCACTTATTAAACAACGTATCACAGACACAGAGCGACAACTAGATCTGGCCTCGGTTCCAACCTTCCTTATCAATGAAGACAGCAGATATCTTGCCTCCCCTATGGCATATTTAACAAACTTAGAGGTTCCCATTCATCGAAGGGCTTTCACCCTGGCTCGATGCCACGCTCTCCCATCAGCTGTACTCGAAGGCCGCTACCGGAAGATCCCTTTCCCAGAGAGACTCTGCCCCTGTGACTCGGGTCATGTAGAAACAATAGAACATGTGCTCCTTCAGTGCCCGTTCTACAGGGATATCCGTGCCAGGCTTATCTTACCTCTGTTATACAAGCACCCAGGCCATTCAGGACAATTTTATACCTCCATGCTACTTGCAGATATTAATTCAGCTACAACCTACAATGTTGCAAAGTTCTGTGCAGCAGCATACAAAATCCGTCAGGGAATGACTAGTCCCAAAAGTTAACTGTGTGTCCAGTAATCTTCTTCCTTGAATCTACAATTGGTGATGGATCTGGGCATTGTATGTTTTTACCCTGTTTCCCCTTCCTTTCCGCTCCCTCACCCATATTGTGCTTCAGTAGTTATATTTATATTTTTAATGTACCAAACATACCAAGTTTGTATGAAAATGTGACTATTTCCTGTGCTGGTCAGTGACCGAAATAAATGATTTGATTTGATGATTCATACTGACTGAAGGGTTTTGCAGAACCAAGCTACTGATCACTGTGCTTCTGCCCCAGTTTCATTTTTCCAGTTTCATAAAAATAATCTTCGACATTTTCATCAAAATCTGTGAAAAAGATTCTAGACATGCCTTGCCTTGCCTTGCATAACTTTGCATAACTTTGCCTTTTCCCTTTTGACTTGATATTTAATTCTCAGAGTAATTAGAGGAATTAGTGCAAATCTTTCTGAAAATTTACTCATTTATCTCAATGATTTCAGAAGATTGCCCCCATTTTTTAAATAACATTCCGATATTGGAAGGATTTCTTAAAGTGAGGGCATAGGCACATCAGCACAGTCACATAATGCAGGATGAACTAGCATTAAAAACATTCAGAACCTCAGGTGGCTATACGGCTCATTGGCAGGGGAGTGACTATACAGCTTTTCTGTGCCTCCCAAGCCTCCCTGTTACCCCCTCCCCTTTCCAATTTCACAGAAAGCCTTGTTACCATTGCTGGAGGCCTTCCTTTTGCAGGATTGCTTTCAATGGAGCTTAGGAGATGGAAGGAGGGCTTCCTGTTCAAAGACCCGACAGCCTCCAGCATCAGTAAGGAGACTTTCTGTACATTTGGCTGTGGATGGGGTGCCATGGGGAGGCTTGAGAGGCACTGCCATCCCACCTCCGCAGAATGCCTGAGCCTGGGGAGTTCAGGAAGGCTCTGGGGATGTAATTTTGGATTCCATCTAGGGATCCAAAATGAGATTTCCTACAGCTCCCTTGGGTCAAAGCATATCAGCTTGGGTTTATCATCTGGTCATCCCAAGCTAACGTGAAAGCTATATGGTATTTTTTAAAAGATAGAAGCGTGTTGATTTTGCAGTTGCCTTATTTTGGATATACCATAAGTGAAGATGCCACAAGGTCTCATATCCTTAGATTCCAACACTGGATTTTCACCTTCTGCTATCGGCCTTTCCTCTTTGCAAACAAACATTAGCCTCAAAGATGCAAATTCAAACTTTAGACAACGGATCCAATTTGAA